GTGGCCCGAACCTGGTAAATGGCCAGGGGTGACCTCCCCCCCCCCCGTGTGGTGCTCTGAGTTTGGAGAGGGAAGTGTTCTGCTAACTCCAGTTTGGTGCAACATGCACGTGGGCACCTTCACAATTTACAGGGTGTGTCTTCCCATTTAATCCTCGTTAAGGTTCCTAGTGTTGGTGTAAGAAACGAACTTCAATTTGTTGAGGGGCGTTTAGGCATTCTCATTTTCCTTGCTTTTAAGATCCTGTCGCTTCGGGGAGGAGGTCTGTTTCACATGTTTCACATGTGTTTTGCTCCCTCTAGTGGTTGATTTGATTTACATTGATGTAAAGGTAAAGGTTCCCTTGCTCGAAAGCCAGTCGAGTCCGACTCTAGGGTTGCGGTGCTCATCTCCGTTTCAAAGCCGAAGAGCCCGCGCTGTCCGAAGACATTTCCGTGCCATGTGGCCAGCATGGCTAAACACCAAGGTGCACGGAACGCTGTTCCCTTCCCACCGAAGTGATCCCTATTTATCTACTTGCAATTTCTTGCTTTCAAACTGCTAGGTTGGCAGGAGCTGGAACTAGAGACGGGAGCTCACTCCGTCATGCCTCACCCGGGTCTCGAACTGCTGAACTACTGACCTTCCACAGCCTGCAGTTCAGCGTGTTAACCACTTGAGCCACCGCAGCTCCTTACGTTGATGTATGTCCAGCCATTTATATGCCAGACGTAAACCCATGTAATATCAAATTGACCACTAGAGGGAGCACAACACATGTGTGGAACAGAAGGAAAAAACCCCAAAGGAACAGGAAGTAACAAGTGAGGAAAATGAGAATGCGGAAAAGCCTGAAGTTTGTTCATTATGTCTCACTGAGCACTGAGGTCTACCAACCGACACCTTTTGATGGTCCCCGGCCCCAGGGACGTCTGACTTGCCTCGACCAGGGCCAGGGCCTTTTCGGCTCTGGCCCCGCCTGGTGGAATGAGCTCCCATGCGAGATCAGGGCCCTGCGGGATTTATTACAATTCCGCAGGGCCTACAAGAAGGAGCTCTTCTGCCGGGCCTCTGGTTGAGGCAGCAGGCGTCCCCCTCCTTGGGTTACCTCCCATCAGCAGCCTGGGTCCTTTGAGATCCTAAATTTTAAAGATCTCCAGACAAAAACTTAAATTTAACATCATCAACCACTGCGGCAACTGGTTTTTACTAGAGTTGTACGATGCGATGTCATATTGTATTTTAAGATGTAAATTGTGTTTTAAAATGTTTTAATTGTATTATATTTTATTGTTTGTGGTAGTGGTTAAGTGCATGGACTCTAATCTGGGAGAACCGGGTTTGATTCCCCACTCCTCCACTTGCACCTGGCTGGATGACCTTGGGCAAGCCATAGTTCTGATAAGGGCTGTTCTTGAAAAAGAGCAATCTCTGTGAAGAGCTCTCTCAGCCCCACCCACCTCACAGGGTGTCTGTTGTGGGGAGGGGGAGGGAAAGGAGTTTGTAAGCTGCTCTGAGACACCTTTGGGTAGTGAAGGGCGGGGTATAAATCCAATCTCTTCTCTCTTGTCTTTTTCTTGTTGGAAGCCGCCCTGAGCCCGTCAAGGGAAGGACGGGATTTAAATCAAAAAAATAAAACAATAAAATAAACTGAGGCTTCCTGTCCAGATATGAAAGTCTGGACTCTTCTTGTGGCTTTTATTTGATAACAACCAGAGCAGTGCACAAGAGCATAAGATTAGGTTATATTTAGGTTCTGTTGGCTATCTTCTTTGCCCCTTTCCTCAAAGTTTCTAGTCCTCCTTGTGATTGCTTCATCAAGTAATTACAGAGTGCTAAAAAGTTAGAAAAGAAGTCCAAGTAAATGACACGCATGATGGGTGTGGGTTGTTTGAGCCCTAACGGGAATGTGCACGCTTCCAAGCTACGGCCTATTGTTAGTTTGCCTGCCACCTCGTCAAAGGCGTCAGTGCATAAATTGTAACCAGCAAACAATTAGAAACTAAATTAAAAGAGCAGTTCAACAGTTTCAGCTAGTTGGGTCAAATGTATGATGGGAATGAAGCCTGTCGTTGTGCTTCACCCTTTTCCCTCGCTCTTTTTCTCCTCCCGTCTGCTGCAGATCATACAGTACATTGGGGAGATCTGTCGCTACCTCTTGAACCAGCCGTCGCAGGACGTGGAACGCAAGCACCGAGTGCGAATGGCCTTGGGCAACGGCCTGCGGGCCTCCATTTGGAAGGAGTTCACCACCCGGTTTGGCATCCCCCAGATAGCTGAATTTTATGGTGCCACCGAGTGCAATTGCAGTGTGGGCAACTTTGACAACAAGGTGGGACGATTTCTTAATGTTGGCATTTATGTGTTTTTGTTTTTCTGACACGCCTTGGAAAAGTCACTACCCAGCTGAACTGTTTGCTTCTTAAAAGGCTTCCTTTGTGTGGGGCAATATGTTCCTGGGCTAGCCTAGTTGTGAACAGATGCAGTGGAGAGCTAACAAGAGCTGCATCCCAACTTAACAATTATCTGTGGTTTGATCACACCCCAGACATTCATGAAAACTGTCCAGATGTTAAGCTGCGTTGCCTGAATGCAGCCAATCCACAGTCTGGCAAAAACCTGGGGTTTCAAAGTAGGGTTTGCCGCCAGTTTGTTAACTGCCGCTTCTGCTGATGCTGTTTTGTTCTGACCTCTGAATTCACAAACTGAAGTTTGTTGGACAGAGTTCAAGTCCAGTGGCACTTTTAAGATCAACAACGTTTTATTCAAGGTATAAGCTTTTGTGTGCATGCACACTTCCTCGGATACAATGAAATGGAAGTTGCCAGCATACAGCATAATAAAGGTATTTGACAGATGGAATAACAAGCTTAGTTTATATGGTCACCATTTGTTTGGGTTTATTTCCGGGGTGTGTGTGTGTGTGTGGACGTAGTGAAGGAAATAAATATATCAAAATTGGAGATGGATGGGCATGCTGTGGAATGCTGAGAGTAACTTTCCGAGACCCTGCTATCAGCTCCATCTGTCTCCTCTCAAGTGTGGAGGCAACAGTGTGTGATTAGCTGTGCAGTGTGTCTCCTCTGTCCCCAGAACAGCCTTGGCTCTTTACCAGCTGCCCAGCTACCTATGTGGCGGTAGAGAGAAGAGAACGTCCTTGCGGGGAAGCTGAAGGTCTGCAAGAAGCAGCCAAATCAGTGTATACACACTTGCAGGATTTGTTGCCGGCGTGTGGTGGACTAACCAGAGTTTGTTGTGCAAACCACAGTTTGTTGTAACGACTGACTACAGCCCTTAAGGTTGGATGGAGATCTTGTTTACTTTGGGTAGAAGAATGGTCCTTCACCTGTAGTCTCCATTTAAGCCTAGCCTAGTACAGATGGACACCTCCTCCTCATGCATGTGGACTTACTGTGCGGGGAAGGACTGTAGCCATGACCATGCTGACCCCCCCCCCCTCACCACCACCTCTGTGCAATTGCCTGGCCATCTGCAGAGTGAGACAGTGCAGAGAAAAT